TGAATTCCTTAGGGTGGTGCCAGTCTCATCTTCTTAACCTTCCCACACTCCTGTTGGGGGCCAAGGGAATGCTTATCTCCCCGAGTGCAGCCTTCATCACACCATTCCGTCATATCTCTACAGGTAGTCCTCACTTACCAACTGCAATTGGGACCAGCAACTCCATCGTTAATGATGTGGTCGTTAAGTGAAACACATGGCCGCACCTGATTTAATGACATCAGTTCTGCAGTCATTAAGCAAATCACCTACGGTCATTAAGCACGATGTCACGTGATTGGGCCTTCCGACTTCCTGCCAGCTTCCCCATTGACTCTGCTTGTTGGAAGCTGGCTGTGAAGGTCACAAATGACAATCACGTGACCATGGGATGCTGCAACTGTCATAAATGTGTGCCGGCTGCCAAGCACCTGAATTGCAATCACAGGGATGCTGCGACAGCCAAACTTAGAGCACCAGTCATAAACCTGCTTTTTCAGCAACATTGTAACTTCAATCACTGAATGAACAGTTGGTAAGTGAGGACTACCTATATTTCCTTAAGTGTGGTCAAATTCTGTCATGTAATATGTAAGATGAGCAGCAGTTTGATTGATAAATCTGTTACTTAATTAGCTAATCAATATCAATTTTATGTATCCAAGTGTTTTATAGATTGGTCATTGACCACAATAAAGATTTTGGACTTTCTCTAATGCTTAGAGACTGCAAACCTCAAATGTTGGTGCAGTGCACAGAAGTTCTGGCCATTTCACAACTTCTATAGCTTCACGAAGTGAATCCTAGCTCACTTTATGAGCAAAATAAACTCCTCATGAACCTGAACAATTCCTTGATAAACTGCTGCTCATCTTATATATTACATGACAGAATTTGACCACACTTAAGGAAATATAGGTAGTCCTCACTTACCAACTGTTCATTCAGTGATTGAAGTTACAATGGTGCTGAAAAAGCAGGAGTAAATAATTGTTCTGTTCTGGGGGTGTATGTATATGTTTCTGAAGGGAAGCCAACAGTAGACATTTTTAAGTGGTTCTTTGTGTTGTGTGAAAGCTAGGGCAGCTTAGTTTTGAAGTTGTTACTGCTACGTTTTCTGAGAGCATATGGCTCTTCTCTGCTGAAAAGAGATTACAGATGTTTTTATGTCTACATAAAAGACATAACATTAGACAAGCTACTGAAATTGCTTGTAGTTGTCATACAATCAGTACATATGTTTAGGGGACAGGACAGTTTTTCATTTGAAATTAGCGTGGCGTGGTTGAGTCCATTCAATGTGACTCTCAGATACAGGCTGAAACATGCAAAGGTCAGTTTATCAGTTGCAAAATTCCACTGCAGAGGTTGGCAACCATATGCCCTATATGGTGTTCTTCCAACCTTCATTAGTTATTTAAGAGAAATATGATGTATGATGATGTCTCTAGACCTCAGATTCATGTTTGCAGCTATACCCCCATAGCTGCATTGCAGGGGGAGATGGAGATAAGCTGGGGTTGTTGGAAGCATCTTGGAGATGTTAGAATGGATATAGAGATTGACCTCACCAGTTTCCCTTTCTTGTGATAGGTCACACCTATCATGGCAGCCATTTTGTGAACAGACAATTTGCTCCCAGCTGTCTTTAGCAGAGAATGCTACGTGTGGTATGGTTACAGGTAAGGGTGGTACCTAGACTGCCCCTTTTCAGAGAAGCATATGTGAAAGCTTTGATTGACCAAAGCCATGATGGGCAGTGGTGGTCAGTATCTTTGGGCCTATCCATGGGCCACAGCATCTGGGAGATTGTGACTTGGAATTTCAGTGGTAAAGAATACAACTTAAGTGAAGTAAAAGAAAGAAAAGTGTCTCAGTGACACTAGGAGAAAGTGGAACACCTGAATGAGGGTGGTCAGATTTTCTACAGTGGAGCTGATATTCATGCAGAGAAGTGAAGGTATAGATTTAATTATGAATGAAGAAGCTAAAATGAATCATGGGGGGAAATAGACATGAGAGAAAGGGAGGGAAAAGTGAAATAAGCTAGAGGGAAATGAAATGACTATTGGAAGAGTATGAGTTCTATATTAAAAAGTATTGAAGATACATTAATTTCTCATCAGAATGAATGGAAAGGGCACATAAGGAAAAGAGATGTGGAAACTGCACAGAAATGTGAAAAAGAAATCTGTTACGGAGTGCTACAACAGTATATGAAGTTATACTAAAGGGAAGTATGAAAAAGTATGCTTGACGGAATGATGTAGTAAGACTAGATGAGGAAAAATTGGATATAAAACAATGTGCAAAACAGAGGAAGAGACAAATGCTGTTTAATATGTATATAGAGAAAAAGGTCTTATATAATCAAGGGGAGCAAGGAATGGTTAAGATTAAAAGAAGGAGAGAAAATGCATTGTGATTTTGATAGAAATAAAAAGTTGTTCTAGAGGTGGGCAAAGAGAGCTAAACAAGGCGCCTCCAGGAGAGTTAACAGAATTAAAAATAACAGCGATGAAATGAAGGCTGGAAGGAGTTTTTAGAGATTTGCATGGGAATTCCAGCAATACGTCCAAAGAATGGAGTTGATGTTACTGTCCAAGAAAAAATGATGAAGTCATAAATGCTATGAGAATGTTGAAAAATGGTAAGACTGCAGGTGTAGATGGCGTAACTGGAGAAACATTAAACTATGTTGTTTGCTTCTGGAGTGGAGGTGTCATGAATGTGGGTGGAAAGGCTGCATCTGTGCCTGGAGATTGTAAGAATGCCCGTGCAGTTTTCCTGCATTAAGAGAAAGGTAGCATGAGTGAATGAAAAACTGTTGTGGATTAGTTTGTTAACCGTGCCTGGTAAGTTGTTTGTCTGAATTCAAATTGAAAGCGTATGAGAAGAGAGAAAGGACAAAATTTGGGAAGTGCAATACGGCTTTAGGAAGAGCAAGGGCTGCGTAAACTAGATTTTTGGTTTTCAGCAGGTCACTTTGATATCAATGTGAGAAAGTTTATGTTTCTAGGGTCTGGTGGCTTAGGTGGTACACAAAACTTTGTAATAAATAAAATATTCCATAAAGTGTGAATTTACTTGAATTATGAATGATTTGCATGATATGGAGTTGAAGGTTGACTGCTGAAGGTGATAAAAGCACAACATGATGAAATTAAAGCATGCAGCAAAATGAATGGAATGCTTAATAACTGGTTCAACGCCAACCAGAGAGTATGATAAGAATGTTCTGAGGTTGTATTGGTTGTAGAATATATTTATGGACAATATATAAGGAATGGTTGTGATAATGGTAGAAGTCTGTTGGTTGGGAACATGAACGAAAGTATACTTTTGTATGCAGACAATGTAATATTGTTGGCTGAGACCTAAATGATTTGCAATGAATGTTAGATAAATTGTATGATGCAATGAGAAGTATGCATTTGGAAATTAATATATGTAGGATCAGTGCAGCCTTAGGCATGAAAACCAGCTGGGTGACTTTGGGCCAGTCAATCTCTCTCAGCCCACAACGTTAGGCTCAGGCGACAAGCTGGTTGGTCAATTCCTGTTGCAACTGACGGATCAAGATCTTGATTGATCGAAAAAGTGGATCCTGCACCTGTGGAAAAAATGCTAGGAAGGGGAAAAAAATCCAGTTGCGTTTGACAGGGAAAATGGAGTGAACTATTACAAGTTAATACATGGTGAAAAACTAGAAAACAAATAGTGTTTTCTAGAAACATGGTGAAATACTAGAACAACTAGATGAATTTGTGTGGCTTGGTAGGATGTTTACTGAAGATTGAAAAACAGATTTAAATGTGTAAATGATGCAAGAATGTGATGTGATGTGATGTGACCTGCTATGAGGAATGTATTTGTGTCAAAAGAAAGAAAATGGGTGTACAATATATTAGAATGGGCTTCTTATTTGGGTGTGTCAGGAGAAACAAAAATTGAGTACCAAGGTAGTGAGACACTTAAGTGGACATGATAAAACAGGAAGTGAAGATCAAGAAGAAATGGGTGATGAATGTGGCCTGAATACAAAAGTGAATGTTATTAGAAAGGACAGTACATTGAGGTGGATTCTTTATATAGGGAGAATGAATCAAATTGCAAAACAAAAGAAAGAGGAGTGAGTCTGTGAAGAGGAAAAGGAAGACTGGAAAAAGTCATGTTTGGATGGAGCTAATGAAATCCTCAAAAAGAAAGGTGAGAAGTTAGAAAAAACA